AACATTTTTAATATGATTCGAACTATTTCGAATTATTTTGCTCTCATAGTTAATAGTTATTTATCTCGATCTGTTTCAAATTATTTTGAATATTTATGTAAAATTGCGTAATTTCTTGTGTAATATTGCGTAATAATCTTACATAATATTTCGTAATTGTATATTTCGCAATATTGCAAAAGTTTTTACGTAATATTACGGTTTTCTTATGCTTCGTAAATTATTGCACAATATTACGCCCTATTAAATTTGCTAATGTAATTCTTTAATGATGTTTTTAATAGTATTAGTGCAAGGAACTCCAAACTGTTGATTAATCTTATAACAAAAGTCTCGAAACCGATCATTGTTGATACAATCTAATGGCATCATTTCTTTAACAATCCAAGCAACAAGCAACAAGCCGATAAGATATGTGATTTTGTTGTTTTTTAGAAAGAGGATAAGTGTTTTCTATTTGTTTTTGTATGATTTTTTCAATTGTTGGTTAATTTGTTGATGCGGGATTTTCAGTTAATGTTGAAGATACATTCCACTTTTGGTTCTTAAAAATTCTATGCTCTGTGCGCAAATGCGTGGCTATATTAGATGTTGATATTGTTGGTATAAAAATTGCCTTACACCATTCAGAAGTACCATCTTCATGATCTATATGGACCTTACAATATTTAACCTTGGTTAATTTATCTCGGCAAGTATATTTTCATACCCAACTAGCAGTAGGCCTACTTTTTTTTGTATTGCATTTGGTTTAAGATTTTTTTTTGTTAAAGTTTCTTGTGAGGAAAAGTAAGATGTTATAAATAAAAAATTAACTGTATTTTTCTCCTCTTCAGTATCATTTTCTTCACTAAAAACATTTTTATTCTCTATAATATTTTCATCAAAATTATATTTAAAATTACAGATTCCTTCATATTCAAACGACATATTACTTTCATCAGCAGCCCCTTCAGACAATTGATCATTAGACATCTTTGTTATAGATGGATTCTAATATTTAATAGTATAAATATTGATGCCAAATTTTTGGCTTATTATATCTTTTTTTTAGATTATCCAAATATTAACTATTATTATGTTATACTGAGGGTTTTGGGGCATGGAATTCTCAATTTTTTCAATTTGAGAATCATGTTTCCTAAAAATCAGATATTCTTTTGGGCATATTCAAAATTCTCATGCCCCGAACTTTATTATAGCGCTTTGCAAAAAGATGTAAACATGCAATTTTAGTGATGATGATGGCTAAGAATCACTAAGATTTCAGATTGTCTGTTATTTTACATTTTCGATTGGTTACGTTTATATTTCTTTGAAATCAGTTTAATTCTTAAAATCTCAAAAAATCTATAAAATCTCCGATTCTTACATGAAAAAATGATCTGCAGTGTTCACATCTTTTTGCAAAGTGCAATAATACTCATAGTTTGCATTAGAATCATGATTTAGTTGTTTTGGCGTTATAAAGATAAGGGTAAAGTATTAATTTATTTCATAAAATCAGTAGAGATTGGTAATACTGATATAATACTCAATGTTATATATTGTTATCTTAGGCGTTTACAAGCACCTATCTCAATGAATTCTATAAAGAATTCAATAAGCTATTTGTTGAGTTCATTGATGTAGTGCTTAAGAACATCCTTAATGGAATTGGTGTTGTGAATATAAGGTTAAAAAAAGCTGCAACTAACTAAAATTTTTTTATAACAGTGACTTTTTATTGTTGCTACTAGTTATTAGCATGAGGTTATTGCATTTAAATATTTTTTTTTGTCTAAAAGTTAGATTTTGGTTTTTTTTTTTTGTTTTAATTAGCTATAACAAAAAACTATTATTTTGGGATTATTTGTGCCATGTACATTTTTTGTGAAATTTAGTGTGTGGTTTCTGAAGACTACTCAGGAATTTTGGGATCACTTGTATAAAAATTTAACTATTATAAGAATTTCAGACAATTAAATATATAAATTATAAACTTTATTCTAATCTTGAAGATGATCGTTCTTCATACATTCTTTTTTAATGGCATAGCATATACGTATATATTCGCATGCATAGTAAAGTTTTTGCTAGACACGGGAACTTGCAGAAATCTACGTACATTCAATTATGTTATATTAATATTCTATATTATGTAAGCAAGCTTTTTACATCTAATATATATATTATATGTCAGAACAAAATTATTGTAAATTTAAATTTCAAAATGACATACTCGATAAAATAATTTGGAGTATATATAATTTTGTTGTAATTTGAATTGGAATTCTTTAACGACTCGAGCACATTTTAGAATTTTATTACAATTTATGTATAGTATATACACGATTTTGTTAATTATTATCATTCAATTAAATCTGATTAAATAATCTATATAATAAATCGGGGTTATTTTAATAGATTTTTATTAGCCGGTATAGTTTTTATATAACTTAATAATAAATCGGCTAAGCTGATTTTTAAGAAAATCGGCTGGCTAAACTAGCTAAGTCGATAAAAATTGACTAATCAAAATTAACTACAAATACTATAAATTAATATTTCAGTAATAGGGTGAGGGTGAGCGGTTAAATTTGGGTCCCTATCTTTCTTGACTTCTATCTCTAGATCTACTTCTATCACAAAAATAGTTTCTGTTTCTACTTCTGTTTCTGTTTCTATCACGTGATTGACTTCTGCTTCTGTTCCATTTATAGTTGTTAGATCTATCATTATAGTTGTTTCTTCAGTTACTATTGTTATAGTTATTATTGTAGTTGCTATTGTTGTAATTGTTATTGCTTCTGCCTCTTCTATTACTTCTATTTCCTCCTGATTTTCTTTTAAAATAATCAGCAAAGAAATGTTTTTTCTTGCTACAAAAATAACAAATAGTATCATTCTTAGATGAGCTTTGTCTAGTTTTTGCAGCATAGACTAGCTTGGTTTGTTGTTGAGCTAAATTGATACTAAGTTGAGCAATTTGGTTGATGAGTTGGGAAATTGTTTTATTAGTTCCTGTTTCAGGGGTAGCAATATGTTTTCCTGTTTCCCAATTTCTAGCAGCATTCATAATATTATTGAGGTTATCAAGTCCAGCAGCTTAAACAGGCATAGCAAATTCTGGTCGTAGTTCTTGGATAAAATGTTGGCGAATAAATTGTTCAGGTAGGCCTTCAACTTTACAATTCAAGTTTTTAAATTTTGAGATATAGGCGTCGACTGTATTATTTTCTTGTTTGAAATCAAAGAGTTGTTGTTGCCATTTAGCTTTTTGGCGAATTGTAAAGAATTTTGCTTTAAACAGAGGTTTAAAACCAATATTTTAATGATCTTTATGATCGTAATATGCCATTTGGGCATCTCTATATTCTTGAACTCATTCACCAGCAATTCTGGTCATATAGACTTTAGCTAATTCACATTTTCAAGCTTCACTTTATCCATTAGCTTTTGCAGCATACTTAAATTCTTCTAACCAATTAAGAGGGTCTTGAGCACATCATCTAAAAAAGGTTCTATTTTGATTAGGTTCTTTTCACCTGCTCCTCCTCTTTCCATAGTTTTAATAAGCCGGGTTATAGCATTAGCAGCACCATTTAATGCTATTTCATCTTTGTCAATAGGTTCTTCATTATTATCAAGTTCTTGGTCAAGTTCTTCTTCTGGTTCAAGGTTCTCTTCTTCACGTACTAAGTTTTCTTCTTCAGGGTTTTTTTCATCATGTATTAAATTTTTTTTTTGTTTTAGATTTTCTTCTTGATCAAAATTTTCTTTTTTTTTCTAGGTTGTGAATAGTAGTAGTTTCCGAAGCTTTGTCCTCTAATCCTTGGTCAGGTGTTGGGAATTGTTAAAGTTGATTTAAAAGGTCTTCAGTGTCTTAATCAAAATCTCTAGCTTATTGATAATTTAATACACATGTAGTTAGAGATCCAAGGGGTGTATGCAATGTACTAGTAAAGAAAATTTCTTGAATACAATTTGGATTAATTCTATAAATAAAAGGTGGTTGATATTGGTACTGTCTTTGGTTGGTATTGTAAATAGTTAATGCAGGATTCCTTCTGTATGGAAATTGATAAAGCTAGAAAAGTGAATTATTGTGTATTCAATTATTACCACTATAAGGTTTTAAAGTTTTTATAATTTTTTGGGTAGGATTAATAGCAGATAGTCTAGCAATAGTAATATTAGAGTTGGTATAGGTAGTAATAGCAATTTCTCGTTGAGGAGTATGATATGTAGCTTGGCTTAAAGTTGAAGAAAATTTTGATATACAATATGTCTAGTAATTATCTTTTCATAATCAGAGAAGTCAATATAATTATCATAGTGATTTCGATTAGCAAATGAGATTTTAGGTATATTATTAAAATTGGTATATCTCCAGAATAATACAAGAATAATAGCTCTAGTGTCACCAATATCTTGAATATAACGACAACTAAAAATAATATTCCTAGTAGCAACTCGAGCTTCAGTTGAATTATATGTAGTTTTTAATATAAAGAAATTTGTTTGGGTATTGCAAGTTTGGAATTTGGCGTGATAAGTATCAGAATACCAAGTCCAAAAAATTCCTAGTAGAGTGTGAGGACTTATTCGATGAGATGAAGAGCAAATAAAACAAGATAGATCTAGGGTGTTATATTGAAGTACGTCAATAGCAAAGGCACTATGATTTGTATATTGGGCTTCGTAATTAACAATATTCTGTTTATAAAATCTAGTTACAGAATTGTCTATAAAAGATATAACCAGATGGTTTAAATGGGCACTCCCCTAGTTGGGGTGCAGGTACGGCAGATAGTGTAGAACCTTTGGGCGGACTACTTAAATTAGGCACTCAAAAGGTGCACGTGTGGCTTGATATACCATCGTTATAATTGCATATAAAACACCATTTCAAATTCTAATAAAAGCTTTCAGGCCAAAGAGGTCTCTTTAACCAAAAAAAAAAAAAAATAACCTCATCTTAAAAAAAAAAAAAAAAGAATTAACGAATCTTTATAAAAGTGATGATAAGCTAGTAAATTTGGATAAAAATGATAAAAGTGATGAAAATGATGAATAAGGTAATAATTAAAACCATTTTATGTAAAAATTGATATAACTATTTTAATTTTATAACAATATTATTTTAGAGCTCCACTAACACTTCAAATACAGATTTTTAAAAAATTGCAATATTAATAATCAAGAATATATTTTTATTTAGCACCAATTCGAATATAGATAAATCTTAAAACAAGATTAATTTTAATTCTTGTTATTTGAAAACTATAAATTATGTCATCAACTTGTGGTAGATATAGCTAAAACAAAAAAACATTCTTATATAGTCTTTTTAAAGTATAAAAAATATTAACTGAAGTTATTATTATAACTTGAATATATTTGTGCTAATATAAATATAAAAAATTATATCTCTTTGCTTTTGGTAAACAATTTTTAAATAGACTAAATAATTTTATTATTTATAAATATATAAATAAAGTTCTTATGCTTTTTGCTAAAAATTTATTACATAACTCAACTTATATAAAATTGCGTAATTTGTATAATATAACCTCATGCAAGATGTGTGAATATATGCTATGTTTATCTCATATGAGGTATATCTCTAATCTGGTTAGAACAATTTGCTACTTCCTTAATCAGGTTTTTCCAAGCCAGTTTCAGTTCTCTCAAGCTACTATGTGTAGGTCTTTAATATATATTGATTCTAGAAGGCTTATTATAGATTTGCACTACTTATACTAGTTTGTATTTCTTTGTATAATAATACAAATGCTTCTATGTTTTCTAGCGCCAAATTGGAGTGTTGGTATGCCCTAGTTTATAAGTATAAAACTCAGTCTAATTTAGAATAAGCTATTACTATGATACAAATAAATTATTCGAAATGTCACCAGTAGGATTCGAACTCAGTATATAGCCAACAAACTTGAGGATACAACAACTCCACTACTTCACTACATCACTACACT